GAGAAGCATGTGAGGCCCCACACGAGAGCCTCGAAACGGCCCTGAAAAGCGCCCACGGGTCTCACCCAGACGCAGGTCCTTGCAACAGGGCGTCACATCAGAATACACCAAAGGACGCCATGGATAAGGAAGCTAAGGATGCCAATGAAGCCCCTGGACCAAGGGATGCAAAGGACTATTGCGTCGTGCGCTCATCTTTCCTGCAATTGTTGACTGTCGAAAGCGGCTCTAGCCCTCGCTGGTTCCCCCGTGTACCGCCTCCACCTGCTCCCCTGGTGGAGGAGGGAGGAGGGAGAAGGGAGAGAGGGAGAGAGGAGGAGGGGGCGATGGAGGGGGAGGAGGAAGAGGAAGAAGAATGCCATAGTTTCACGCTTAGGTTGGTGTAATGTAAAAGAGAGGAGGATGAGGAGGAGAAGAGAGGAGGAGGAGGAGGAGGAGGAGGAGGAGTGAGGAGGAGGATGAGGGGAGGAGGTAGGAGGCGGGAGGAGTCCGGAGTCGGAGTCAGGAGGAAGAAGGAGGAGAGGAGGAGAGAGAAGGAGGCACACGAGAGAACACGAGGAGGAGGAGGGATGGGGGGAGAGGAGGAGGAGAAGGAGGAGAAGGGGGAGGAGGGCGGAGAAGAGGAGGAGGAGGGGAGGAGAGAGGAGGAGGAGGGCGGAAAGGAGAAGGAGGCAGGAGGATGTGGATATAAGGGGGCATGGAGAAGGGGAGGAGGGAGAGGAGAGGGGGGTGCGAGCGAGGAGGAAGGCGGAGGAGGAGGAGGGGAGGAGGAGGAAGGAGAAGAAGAGAATGGAGGCACAGGAGGATGAAGAGGATGGGGGAGGAGGAGGAGGAGGAGGAGGAGGAGGGAGGAGGATAGGAGGAAGGAGGAGGAGGAGGAGGGAGGAGGAGAAGGAGGAGGTGGTGGAGGAGGAGAGGTAGGGGGAGGAGGAAAGGGGGAGGGGAGGAGAGGAGTGAGGATGGAGAAAAGGAGAAGGAGGCATGGAGGATGGGGGATATATTGGGGGCATGGGGGAGGGGAGGAGGAAGAGGGATGAGTGGGAGGAGGAAGGGAGGTAAAACACGAGAAGGAGGGAGGGGTAGGGGTAGGGGTGTAGGGGTAGGGGGAGGAGGAGGAGGAGCAGGGAGGAGGAGGACGGAGGAGGAGGAGGACGAGGAGGAGGAGTGAGGGGACGAGGAGGAGGAGAAGCAGGACAAGGGCCCGGAGGCATGGAGGGGGATATAGGGGGCATGGAGGAGGGGAAGAGGGAGAGGAGAGGGGAGGAGAAGAGAGGAGGAACACGAGGAGGAAGGAGAGGAGGAGGAGAAGGAGGAGGAGGAAGAGGAGGAGGAAGAGGAGGAGGAAGAGGAGGAGGAAGAGGAGGAGGAGGAGGAGAAGCAGGACAAGGGCCCCGAGGCCGCCCGCAGCCCGCGGGAAACACTCGGGGCAGGAGGCCCCCCGGGCCGACGCGCCAAAGGGTGCAACCGCGGCCCTCCCCCAGGGGTGGCGCACAGAAGGCCTCGCGGGGCCCGCCGGTCGCGAGCCGGTGACGGCTGGCAGGTCCTACAGCCAACCCGTAGAATGAGCACGCACGGTTTGTGATTAGGGAAAAAAATAAGCCCCGAACCCTTTGGGAGGGGACCTAAATTAGGAGGGCCAAAAGCATCAGGGATAGTGGTCTCTGCTGCAGATGCACCGAACCAAACCGCCCAGATTTGTGATCTCTAATGCAAAGACGGGGCCCTAAGTGAGGCTACGTCTTCTCATCGTGCCATTAGGATTGAGGGCTCTTGATCCTCGATGAGCAAGGATTCGCGATAAGGGCGCACGATAATGACGCCATGTCAACACTTCGCGCGCGGGGCGCGGCCAGCGAAAGCGGCCAAGGATGGGCCGAAGGGGAAAGATCCGAGGGTGCCCTTGGAAACTTGCTCATCCTTACTATGCGGGTGGACTGTACGTCGAGGAAAAGGTACCTCCACCGCTGCCCTCGCCCCGTTTTTGTCTTTTTGGGCCTCCTCGGAGGCTCTCGTGGCCACCGCTGGATTCGCCTCGAAATCCTGGTCAGAGCGCGCCCCAGGAGAGGTCCAGGGAGTAGAGGTAAGTCGGGCGCGTCCCTCTACAAAAGGAATATTACCACAGCGTCAAAAAAATACTCTGGGGATGATGCTTTGACTATTTTTGATTATCTTTGAAATTGTTGCTACTATCTCTAATTTTTCTCCAAAATCCGCCTGTAGAAGGACATGCCCGACCTAAGAGTAGAAATATCGGTACCTCTTGGTTTCCCCGCGACCGGGAGGACCCCAGGGGCCAGTTAGAAAGCACATCTCGGGGGCATCCCCTCCTCCCGTGGCACTCCTCCTCGCCGGCGGCCCTCTCCTGGTTAGGCTTCCTACCCGCGCATTCTCGGAGTATCATCCTTTGGCTTCCCCTACTCCCTGCCCCAGGCTGATCATGAGAACGTGGGAGGATGCGCAGGGGGTGGGCATGGTCCGTGGCCCTGGTTTGCCAGCTAGCAGGGTGCCCTCCGATCTTCTCCTCCTGCTCCTCCTCCTCCTGCTCCTGCTCCTGCTCCTGCTCCTGCTCCTGCTCCTCCTCCTCCCTGCTCCCCCTCCTCCTCCCTGCTCCCCCTCCTCCTCCTGCTCCTCCTCTCCTCCTCCCTCCTCCCTCCTCCCTCTTCCTCCTTCCACCCACCTCCTCCTCCTCCTCCTCCTCCTGCTCCTGCTCCTGCTCCTCCTTCTCCTCCTCCTCCTCCTCCTCCTCCTCCTCCTCCTCCTCCTCCTCCTCCTCCTCCTCCTCCCTGCTACCCCTCCTCCTGCCATTCTCCTCCCCAAGTTTCTGCTGCTGCTGATCCTCCTCCAGTGGTCGCTTCCCGCCGCCCCGCCCCCACGCCCGCGGCGGAGCGGGGCGCCATGGTCCAGTGAATCAGCAGCATGATGTCGCAGGTCTCGCGGCGCGGTTGGGGTGGGGAAGGAGTGTCGCAGTGCTACCCCTGTTGCGCGTAGTCCTCCTCCTCCTCCTCCTCCTCCTCTCCTCCTCCTCCTCCTCCTCCTCCTCCTCCTCCTCCTCTTCCTCCTCCAAAGAGGCTGGAGAGAACGATGATGGTGGTGGTGATGATGATAATACTGATGCTGATGGTGATGCTGGTGATGATGATGATGATGATGGTGATGGTGATGATGATGATGATGATGAGGATGAGTATGAGGATGATGATGATGTTGATGATGATGGTGGTGGTGATGATGATGATGATGGTTATGGTGATGATGTTGATGATGATGATGAGGATGAGGAATATTATGCTGATGGGGGATGATATGATGATGACGATGATGCCAATGATGATGATAATGATGATGATGATGATGATGATGATGATGGTGATGATGATGCTGATGCTGATGACGATGACGATGACGATGATGATGATGATGATGATGATGATGATGCTGATGCTGATGCTGATAATGATAATGATGATGATGATGATGATGATGATGATGATGATGATGATGATGATGATGATGATGCTTATGATGATGATGATGATGATGATGAGGATGAGGATGATGATGCTGATGGTGCTACTGCTGCTGATGATGATGACGATGGTGATGATGATGATGCTATGGTTGTTTATGATGGTGATGATGCCGATGAGGTGGAGGAGACAGATGACGGAGGAGAGAGGATACTTTTAGGGTGCCCAGTGTTGCCTTACGTTTCAAAAGGGCTATAGCAAATTAAAAAGGATGTTTCACGGTCGTAGGATTCTTAGTGTTTGTGCGGGGTCAGCCTCCTCTCTCCTCGTTGCTCCCCGTTCTTCTCTTATTCCTCTCATCCCTCCTCATCCCTCCTGGTCCCCCTGTTCCTCCTCCTCCTCCTTCCCTTTTTGTGTCATTCCATGTTTCAGGGAGCGACCCCCCTCGCTCCCGTTCTTGCCCGTCAGCGGGCGACTCTGGTCTGGTTTGCAGGCTCCTTCACTAGCACTGCACAGCCCCAACTGTAATTCACTGGTTGGGGCTCTTTCGTGGACACTCCGCAACCGTAGTCCGTAGTCCGTAGTCTATAGTCCGTAGTCTACGTAGTCCGTAGTCCTCCTCCTCCTCCTCCGCCTCCCATTCACCTCTCCTGCTCTTCCTCTCCCATCCGCCCTCGCCTCCTCCTTTCTCCCGCCTCGTCCTCAGAAGGGGATGCACGAGAGGGTGGACAGGATGGGGTGGGAAGGGATTGGGAGGCGAAGGGCGGGGAAAGGGGGGGGGGGCGGAGTGAGGGGAGGGTGGGAAGGGGCGTGGGGGACAAGGAAAGACCAGGAGGGTGGCAGGGGATGGGAGGAGACCGCGGGAGGGCGGGGGGTCGGAGAGGCGAGGGGATGGACTGATGCATCGGGGGGTGTGGGGGTTGCTCGCAAGAGGAGGGGAGGTGCACAGGGTACGGGCTGAGAGGGGATGATCACAGAGGACAAGGAACTCGAGGGGGCGGAGAGGGAAGGAATGGGAGGCGACGGGATGGCGCGGGGAGAGGAGGGGTATCCAACACCGCTCGAGGTCCAGGAAGGTCGGCTCCCAGGGCGGTGGACGTGTGTAAACTCCAGCCTCAGGGGGAAATGGAGGGAGGGTGCCAAAGGGGATAAGCTCAGAAGGGATGAGATTAGGAAGGAGAGACAAGAAGGGGAGAGAATGAGAACGGACATCTCCAGGGACTCGCTGCACCTTGTCTTGCGACCTCTGTTCCCTTATCCATCCCCCTCCCTAAGTATCTCTCCCTCACCGATCACATCTCGCCCTCTCCCCTCCCTCCCTCCTTCCCCTCCCCTCCTGTCTCTGTCTCCCGGGCGGGAAATGAGAAGGGACGGGCCTTCTCAGAAGGCTCGGAAGTTCCTGGGCCTTCTGAGAAGTTTTGTAAGCCTTCCCCGAAGACACAGAAAACCTCTCAGAAGCATGGAGGCCTTCTGAGAAGTCCCGCCGCCTTCTGAGAAGGCCTTCTACTTCTCACTTCCCCTCCTCGCTCGCCGCCAAGTCTCGTCTTACCACATGCTGCATGAGGAAGTGAAGAAGGGACGCAAGAACGGACAAGCATGACCGCATCACCCCAGCGGTCACTCTCTCGGCGCCGCCTGCGCGTAAGGGAACGGGAAAGGGACCGTCGAGATTTTCAACGCGTTGTGGAAGTGTACCATGCCGCTTGCCATCTCCTCGGCCGAAGGCAAATAGAAGAGGCATACGGAGAGGACAATGATACAGGACACAGGAGACCTGAGTGAGAGAGAGAGAGGAAGAGAAAGAGCTCAGACACTACGACCCCGGAAGTCTCAGGGAGGAGGGAGGATGAGGATGAGGATGAGGATGAGGAGGGAGGAGGGGAGGAGGAGGAGGAGGGAGGAGGGAGGAGGGGAGGAGGGAGGAGAGTTGGAGGAGGGAGGAGGGCGGAGGGAGGAGGGAGGAGGGTGGAGGGAGGAAGGAGGAGGGATCCTGTCCACAAGGCCGGCTTCTCATCCCGAGTCGTTTTGACGGACGGGCCCGGGGCCGGGCGAGGGCCCCCGGGGGGGCCGAAGACAGTGTAGAACACCTACCATTCCGATCTTCTTGTGCGGCGCGATCGCTTCCGGGAGTGGAGCAGGGGGGGGGAGGAGGAGGAGGGGGGGGAGGAGGAGGAGGAGGAGGAGGAGGAGTAGGAGGAGGAGGAGAGGAGGAGGAAGGAGGAGGAGGAGGAGGAGGAGGAGAGGGAGGAGGAGGAGGGGAGGAGGAGGAGGGAGGAGGGGGAGAAGGAGGAGGAGGAGGAGGAGGAGGAGGAGGAGGAGGGAGGAGGAGGAGTGAGGGGGAGGAGGAGGAGGAGGAGGCCGAGGAGAGGGATGGTGAGGACGAGGGTGGTGACGCCGGCGAGAGAGGGGGAGGGTGGAGAGACCGAGCAAGAGCAGACACGACGGCCGACAGCCCGAGAGGCCGAGGAAGGGTAGGAATGCAGGGCGGAACGCTGGCAGCATGCAGAGGGGGGTAGGGGGAGGGAGGCGTCGTAACAAAAATCACGACGGAACGTTTTTCCCTCCTCCTCCTCCTCCTCCTCCCTCCTGTCCCTCCTCCTCCGCCGCCTCCCCCATCCGCCGCCGCCTTTATGCCCTCCATCATCCTCATCATCATTGCTGCTGCATCGTGCATCATTATGTTTCTGCAGCATCATCATCATCATGCACAAAAGCATTCATCATCATCAGCAGTCTGCTCAGCAGCAGCAGCAGCATCATCAGCAGTCAGCTGGCATCATATAATCATAGCATCATCATCATCATCATCATATCGCTCCTCCTTCTCCTCCTCCTCCCCCTCCTCCTCTCTCCTCCCCCCTCCTCCTCCCCCGCCTCCTCCTCCTCCTCTCCCCTCCTCCTCCTCCTCCTCCTCCTCCTCCTCCTCTCCTCCCCCTCCCCCTCCCCCCCACTCCCCTCCTCCTCCTCCTCCTCCTCCTCCTCCTCCTCCTCCTCCTCCTCCTCCTCCTCCTCCTCCTCCTCCTGTTGCTGGGGGCCCTCGCAATGGGACCATCAGAAGAGGACTCGGGATGACAAGCCGACCCGTGGGAAAGTGTCTGGACTTCCGGGGGACTACGCTGTGTGGAAAACATCCAGACGCCGCATGTCTGGGAAGGCTTCTTGGGAAGCTGTTTTTCTTAGAAGGCGCCGGCCTTACATCTATGTATAAGGCCAGTGCCTTCGGAGGAGCAGCCGTCTTCTGAGAAGCCTTCCCTGAAGGGGAACTGGGACACACAAATAAATAGACACTAATCAGAGTGAGGGGGCCGAACGGTCATTCACTGTCCCTGGGTGCGTGGCTGAAGTGGGATTCCGCGGTGCGGATTCGTGTTGTTGTTGTTGTTGTTGATGTTGTTGTGAAGGTTGTTGTTGTTGTTGTTGTTGTTGTTGCTGTTGTTGTTGTTTGTTGTTGTTTGTTGTCGTCGTCCCACCCGCAACCCGCCCCGCGACCCACCCGCGACCCACCCCGCGACCCGCCCGCGACCCACCCGCGACCCGCCCGCGGCCCACCCCGCGACCCACCCCGCGACCCACCCGCGACCAACCTGCGACCCACCCGCGACCCACCAGCGACCCACCCCGCGACCCAAACCACGTTCAAGATACGAACCAACATTTTCGGCGCCTGCGGCGGGCTTTTTTTGCATTCCTTCCAAGTGGAGAGCCCGCGACCCACCCCGCGACCAACTCGCGACCAACCCGCGACCCAAACCACGTTCAGGGTACAAACCACATTTTTCGGCGCCTGCGGCGGGCATCTTTTGCATTCGTTCTAGGTGGAGAGACCGCGGCCCACCCGCGTCCACGTTCAGGGTACAAATCAATTTTTTCGGCGCCTGCGGCGGGCATCTTTTTCATTCGTTCCCGGTGGAGGACCCGCGGCCCACCCGCGACCCGAACCACGTTCGGTGTACAAACCAATTTTTTCGGCGCCTGCGGCGGGCTGCTTTTGCAGAAGGACGAGGAGGAGGAGGAGGAGGAGGAGGAGGAGGAGGAGGAGGAGGAGAAAGGGGACGACGACGACGACGACGACGACGACGACGACGACGACGGCGGCGACGACGACGACGACGACGACGAAAAGGAGGAGGGGGGAGGATCGGGAGGGGGGGAAGAGGAGGAGGACGACGAGGAGGAACATGACGACAATGGGAGGACGATGATGGAAGGACGAGGGGGGGAGAGGGAGGACGAGGAAGAAGAGGAGGAGGAGGACGAGGCGGAGGAGGAGGACGACGATGACGATGAGGACGAGGACGAGGACGAGGAAGAGGAGGAGGAGGCGGAGAAGAGCGCCATCGACAGGGAAGGTGGGGGCCACGAAGTCTGCCGGCTTGACGACGCCCGCGTTGCCCGCGCCTGCCCCCTCACTCTTATCCGCAATTGCGGGGTGCTACGTAACCAGATTCCCCATATTTTCCCATATTTTCTGGGTTTCTGTCTTCCCCCCACTTCCCATATTTTCCACATTTTCTGGGGAGTCGACGATTCATTGTGTCTGTGTTGTTTCCCCTCCTGATTCCCCCTCCCCCTTTCCCCTCTGCGCGTGGCCGAGAACGGGCGCGCGATGGATGGGACACCAGAGGCTGGGATCGGCCACCACGCCGCCGCAGAGGTATGACGTCAGGGATGTCTTGCTGGGATCCTGCAGGGCTCCGAAGGCCCCCCGCTGCGACCAGGCTCCGCCCCGCCCCCCAGGGCTCCTCTAAAGTCGGGCCTGTCCCCCCGCAGGGGCATTTTCGACGAAAAATAAAACATACCCCCGAAACGGTCCAAGAATAATCCCAAAATAGCCGGGGGACTATGTTTTGAATATTTTTTGACCTTTGGGGGGTATTTTGGGGGTATCTTCTGTTTTTCGTCGCAAATCCCCCTGCAGGGGGACACGCCCGACACAACCCTAGACTGCGGAGGGCCACCGCGTGCGCGGCCCGAGGAGGCCGCGCCGCACGAGCGTCGCCTCCTCCTCGGGGGGGGGGACGGAGGCTCCGTGCCAGGGGGAAAACAAACCTACCTCGCCTTTTGACCACCCTCGCTTCCAAGAGATACCAATGAACGGGCGAAGAACGGTATACCATAAACTTTTTTCGCTGTCGGGGGCGCCTGTCCCAGGGCGGCTGGAAAGTTTATACCCTTACGGTGGCACCGTAGGGGTAAAAACTTGCCAGCCGCCCAGGGACAGGCGCCCCCGACAGCGAAAAAAGTTTATTTTATACCGTTCTTCGCTCGCTGAACCAAGCGATGCCAAACTACGGCCTGTACTGGCCAGGTCGCTCGACGAGGAGGCGCGTGGTATGACTTGGCTTTTTCCTGGAAGCGAAAGCGGGGTAGGTAATTCACGCTCTGACCGTGCGCCGACACACGTCGGGGGGGGGGCACAGCGTCTGCGCCGCTTGCCGGGAGGGAGGAAAGGCCCCGCCGTGGCACGAGGCGCTCCTCTGCAGGGGCCCGGGGTGGCCTCCAGAGCGGAGCACGCCCCACCAGGCCGGAGGGCCCCGCGAGGGGCCCCCGCGCGTCGCGAAGAGCTGGGGGGCCCCTTGGATTCAGTCGGGAAGGTCCGCCTACAGGTGGATTTTGGACGAAAAATGAAAAATAATCAAACAATGCTCCCAAATTATATTTTTCCAAAGAAGAAAAAAATAGTCCCCTTACTATTTTTGGACTATTTTTGAATAATCCTCCTGTAGAGGAACAAGCCCGACTGAACCCTTGAACCCGGGCCACCTCCAGCAGCCCCCGGGGCTTGCTCCCATCCCGTCCCTCCCGCCCCTCCAGGGTCGGGTCGGGCACGTCCCCCCACAGGCGGATGCTGGGCGAAAGCTGGGGAGTCGCCCAAAGATGATCCAAATCTATCAAGCATGGTCAGAAAGTTGGCCGCGCGCCCCTCCAAGGTCAGGTCGGGCACGTCCCCCCACAGGCGGATGCTGGGCGAAAGCTGGGGAGTCGCCCCCAAAAATGATCAACATCCGTCAGGCATGGTCAGAAATGCGCCCCCAGCCTATCTTTCGACCACTCTTGAATCTTCCCCCTGTGGAGGGACAGGCCCGACCTGATCCCATCCCGTTGGACGCCCGAAATGGGTACGGAAAGAGTGGGCACAATGCCCAACAACAAGTGTTGCCCCAGACCAGCAGCGGCCGCTGTTGGGCAGGCGGCCTTCCGTCTCGAATGGACACCGGCCGCGGCGGCGTGGACAGCGAGTCCTGTTCAAAAGGAACAAGATCCGCTGCTGCGCATTGTACCCATTCTTTCCGTGCCCATTGCGTTCGGCGGGCCGGGCCGGGGCGGGCCAGGCCGTGCCCCCTCTCGCCATGGGGGCGGGGCGGCCCCCGAGGAGACGACGCCAGGGCTAGGAGGAGGAGGGCGCGATGCCGGGCGTCCGTGCAGAGTCCCGTCCCTCCCGCCCCTCCAGGGCTGGGCGGGCCGGGCCGGGCCGGGCCAGGCCGCGCCCCCTCTCGCCACGGGGGGCGGGGCCGCCCGTGGCGGCCCCCGAGGAGGCGACGCCCGGGCCAGGAGGAGGGCGCGACGCAGGGATGGGCCAGGGGAGAGAGAGAGAGAGAGAGAGGGGGGGACAGGAGCAGAGGGGAAGGAGGGAGGGAGGAGGCATGGGATTTTTTGGAGGTGACGAGGATGGCCGATCGGAAGAGGGTGATGGAAAAGAGGGGGGCGGGGAGGAACGAGCGGGACCAGGGAGGAGGAGAGCTGCAGCGGCGAAGGAAGCTCCTGGAACGAGCGCGTCAAGATCGGCGGCGGTATGCTCATCACACCTCCCAGGGCCCGCACGCTTCGCACGCCGCCACCTGCCCTCTGCCATCGCCTCGCCTTCTCCCTCCTCCCTCCTCCTCCTCCTCCTGCGCCGCACTCCTCCTCCTCCTCCTCCTCCTCCTCCTCCTCCTCCTCCCTCCTCTCCTCCTCCCCTCCTCCCTCCCTCCCTCCCTCCCTCCCTCCCTCCCTCCCCTCCCTCCTCCCTCCCCTCCCTCCCCTCCCCCCTCTCCCTCCTCCCTCCCTCCCTCCCTCCTTCCCTCTTCCTTCCCGCCCCTCCATCCTTCGCTCCCTCCTCTTGCCTCCCTCCTCCCCCTCCCCCATCCCCCATTCATCCTCCTGCTGATCCTCCAAAAATGCCTGGTGATTCTCCTGATTCGTATCCTCCTCATCCTCCTCATCCTCCGCATCCCCCTCCCGGTCCTTCTAATACGCCTGGTTCGTATCCTCATGATCTTCCTCCTCTTGCTCCTCAAGGTCCTCCTCCTCCTCCTCCTCCTCCTCCTCCTCCTCCCTCCTCCTCCTCCTCCTCCTCTTGGTTTGCATAATCTGCCTGGTTCCTCTTCTCCCTCTCGTTCTCACATAATGACTGGTGTACAGTGCGCAATGTGCTGCTAGCACGGCCCTCTGTGGGGCCTCTCAGGCACATGGCTGCGGAGGCGGGGAAGCGTTGCTGCAAACCCGAGTCTCCCGCCTGTGCTAAACTCTGTATGCAACTATCTTGCCAGAAACGGAAGTCTGACCGATCTTCACATGATGCTCGAATTTATCACCCGATGCTGAGGGACTGGGGGGGGAACCCTGCCCCCCCACCACATTGCTTAGATGGAACAGCACAGGTTGTTTGTATGGCCACCGGTAGCCATAGAAAAACGTGTGTTGTGACTCCTCCGTATCCTGGCCCTGGTCCTCCAGCTGCTCCTTCTGTCCATCTCTCTCTGTTCCTCCTCCTGTTTCTTGCGTTGGTCCCCCGAGTGGTCCTACGCAGTCATCCCGACCATACTAACATCCTCCTCGTGCTCCTCCTCCTCCTCCTCCGCCTCCTCCGTCATCCTGGTCCAGCACCTGCGCCAATGGGCCCCCTTCCTGGGAAAAGCAAGCGGGTTGACTCCCGTTGCGGCCCCGGGCTTCTACCCTGGGGGAGAGAAAGAAGGTACTTAGTCATGTAGGCTTTCTTTTTTGGGAATGAATTCAGGATTATACGGGTGCAACAGTCATGTGGGCACCGAACAACTGCACCTCCATTGAAACAGCCAACAAAACGGCAAGGCGAAGCACTTAAATTTGTACCGCGGGGCTGGCCAAGGCGAAGCACTTAATTTGTACCGCTACACCGGCCAGCGATTTTTTACGCTCAAAGCAAGTCTTCGATGCAGGGGATTTCGTATCACAGTGGACTGTTTCACTTCAGGCGTGCATCGTAGTCGTGTAGGCTTTCTGGGCCTGCGCAGCGGTGGGAGAGGCGGGGTCCCGGCCCGTGCGCGGCTGGGCGGGGGCAGGCCAGGACCTCGGGCGCTCCGCCGCTCCTGCGCGGGGTTTCTTGGTAAGCGGGGGGGGCCCCCTCGACGGGGGTCAACCTCGCCTCGTCGTCGCGCCGCGACGGGGGTCGGCGCACATTCGGCGCGCGGTGGCTGCCAGCGACGGGGGTCGACGTGGGGCTGCCGGCGGGGGTGACACCCCCCCCGACGCGTCTAAAGAAACTCGGGTACCGTGACGGGGCTAAAACCACCCAATGTCGAGTGGTGGCAGGTGCGGCGAGTGCGGGACAATCCTGTCCGCTGTGCGCCACTGTACCGCACTCGGGCCACTGTAGCCAATTTGTCGTCGGAGGCTCAAGGATGCGTGCCACCTGGTCCCCCTTGGGCAAAGAGAATGGCTGGCGTGGTTCTAGGCACCGTGTCTGCAAGGGCCAAGTGACCCGCCTGGTTGCCGTGGGTGCTCCGAGGTCCCAACCTCACTGGGGCGGAGGAATGAGCCGGCACCTTCGGTGGTGCGGGGGTCGTTATCAGAGTTGAGGATGCGCGGACGGTCGTGATCGCGGCCATCGGGCGTGCTGAAATAGGGTGAACGTTCAGCTTTATTAATTTCCTGGTCGCACGGAGGTGCATACTTGGTGGTGCTATCATCGTTTCTTGGCAACTCCCATTTTTGTGTGAACGTTTTCGGCCGAACATATCCGAGCTTCTCCGCTCTGCTTGCGCCTGCGCTCCGTTAAGTCGTTGTCTTGGCGGTAATCCTGGTAATGCTGATCCTCGTGGTCTCCCTCCTGGTACGTGATGCTGGTCCTCCTCCTCCTCCTCCGTCCTCCTCCACCGCCCCCCGTCCTCCGTCTTCCTCCTCATCCTCTTCCGCCTTCTTTGCGCGCGCTACCGCCGTCACGTCATCGTGTTCGCTGGCCGGCTGTTT